TCTTCCACCGGTTCCTTGGTGGCTTTGAGAGCTATCCCCTTTTTCTTTTGTTCATCCAAAGACGGGGTTAGAATAGTAGATTCATAGGTTTTAAGGTTACCTCTTAGCCCGTCGATGGTGACGTTGGAGACTCCGATGGATTCGTAGATTGCATCGGCTTTTGACCTCCATTCGGGTGTGAGACTCCGCAGGATTTTCATCACGAGATCCTTGTTGGTGTAAGTCTTTTTGAAAGCATGAAGATCGTTGATGATCTTTGAGAACCGGTCGAACATGTCATCGATTTTCTCACCTTCTTTCATTCAGAACATTTCGTACTCTTGGGTGAGAAAATCGATCTTGGCTTCACGAACTTGATCGGTACCTTCGTACGTCACTTCAAGCTTGTCCCACATCTCCTTGGCGGTTGTGCAACAGGAGATCTTTCGGTAGTCATCGGGGTTGACCGTGCAATATAGCATGTTGATGGCCTTTGCATAGTTTTTAATCTTCTTGATGTCCTCGGCATCAAATTCGTTTTCCGTCTTCGGGACCGTGGTTTCTCCCACTTTCTTCATAGGGATTTCTTCGCCATTTTTGATCACCAACCACAATTGGAAGTTGGTGGAACGAATATAAATTCTCATCCGTTCCTTCCAATAAGAGTAGTTGGTGCCATCAAAGAGTGGTGGCCTAGAAGTTGATTGACCTTCTCCAATTCCTGCATAGAGATTTCTAGAAAAAGAACCCATGATCGCTTTACTCTCAAACAGTTAAGTTTGGACGCGAGTTAGGCTCTGATACCAATTGTTAGAATAATAGACCAACGCTAGAGGGGGGGTGAATAGCGTTTGATCAAGAAATCGCAGGAATAAATAATGAATAAACGAGAAGTAAAGAGAAAAGAAAGAGGCAAACCGATTTTACCCTGGTTCACCACAACTTGTGGCTAATCCAGCCTCCCGAGAGACTCTCTCGAGCTACACTACTATCTCGTTAAGCTTAACGGTGCTTAACAAACCCGTACAACTTGAGAATTTGAGTCACACGAACCTCAACGAACCTTCGAAGGAAACAGCCCTTCCTTCGAACAACAAGAGAAATACCTTCTCTTGTCAAGTGTCTAAGAACACTAAAAACGCTCAAGAACAATACTCCCTTTTAGAGTGGATAATGAGTAAACTAAGAACGCTCAAGAACACAACACAAGCTTCACAGAAATGGCTCTCAAAAGCTATGAATAATTGAAGAATGATTTGCAATGAAAGAGTAGGAGTTGTGAAGTTATGTGGTGTGTAAAACAGACCCAAACACCCCTTTTTATAGTAGAAAATTAGGCTCCAACGGATCAAAGTATTTAAGGGGTGATTGGCACAATTTGTGGGATTTGATAAAATTTGGATCTGCTGAAATTCACCCAGACAGCGCTGTCCTAGGCTTTGACATCGCTGTTCTAGGCTTGCGTTTTGAAAAATGGGAAGCAAAGGTCATGCCAACAGCGATGTCTAAAAACCCTACATCGCTGTTTTGGCTGTTGACTTCCAAACAAGGAAAGTTTTAGCCTTAAATTCCTTCCAACGGTCAGGTCTCTACATCGATGTTCTATACTAGAACATCGCTGTTTAGGTCTGCCTTTGAAGATGGAAGTTTGGCCTGACAGCGCTGTTGCTGGGTCAACATCACTGTCCAAAAACTTTCTGCCAATGCACTATATTTTTGGCTTAGGTTGGACAGCGCTGTAGGGAAGCCTACATCGCTGTTCCAGAAGTTTTTGGAAATCCAACCTTGGCTCAACAGCGATGTCTAATGTCCAACATCGCTGTTGGAAGACTTAACGCCAGACCATGTTTTTAGCTACCCAAGCCAGACAGTGCTGTTGGTTACCTCAACATCGCTGTTGGGCTGGTTTAGCCAGACCCATGATTGGTTTAGTCATGCCGTTAGCCGATGTCAAAAACGCAAGTTCTCCAAAATAAAAACCAAGTATTGAAAACATTTGTTTATTGCATTTTGCTAAGAAATCAAGTAAGACATCTTAAAAACCACGTCATTTAGTTGAAAACCACGGCTAACCAAGTTTGCGCTGTTTCGCATGGTTTTTACTAAACTACCAAAAACGGAAGGTGGTTTTTGAAGTGTTTTTGTTGGAGAACAATTTAAATGTACCCAGAAGTAAAAACCAGTTATAAAAAGTTGAAAACCACTTGGTTGGTTCGGACACCAAAAACCAACGCCGAAAACCGAAAGCGGAACGCCGGTTTCTGAAAGCTGAATGCCGGATGGCTTGGTTCTTGGTTTGGGCGAACTCCAAGTGTTTTTAGTCAAGTTTAAAGCTTATGAAAAACATTTTTGAAATTGCAAAAACTATTTTGATGAAATGAGCTTAGAGAGCCAAGACTAGGAAGTTTGTGCCGGTCTTGATCACATTAAGACCGACTCAATGCAATTCTAATTCTTCGTTCTTGACTCTAGGTTCTTGGTTCTCAAATCATCATGCCATGGTCCTTCGCCTTGATTGTGTTCACTTTAGCCTTGTTATGTCACGGCGGTTTGGCATTATCAAAACCTGTCATAAAAACGAACACAGTTTAGTACGACGTAGGCGTAAACCCGTGTTCCAACAAAGTCAAAAGGTGTTTTGAACATTCTAGAGTAATCGATTTGTAGAGGTTTAAGGATGTTGTCATTGAAGACCTTGTCTTCACCTTCCGAGTGCGTGTATAGAATAGGCCCTTCTCTATCCTTCCTAATTTCTTCTAATGCATTGTTGCAGAGTACCTTGTTCCCATCATTAATCTTGTCAAATTCATCATTCTTGAGTGAGCTCCCGAGGTCTTCCACATGATTAAAAAGAGCAGCATAAGGGGATAAATTCAGCAGCAAATGGGGATAAAAGCACGCTTGGTAGTGGGGGTATTGAATATTATATCGTTGGGAAGCCTCTTCTGGAGAATTGTTCCCCTCCAGCTTATCAGTTTCAATGAAGCAAGAAATCAGATTAGGGTTAATGTTCTGCTTATCTAGTTTAAGATCTCCAATTTGATTTGGTTGTAACTCCACTTGTGAAGGTTCTGTTCCCGGCAGGATGTTAGAATGGGAATCAGAGAGTGTGACAGGATTTGCCTCTCCTTTGTATGTGTTCAGAAATAAGCTTGAATGCAAATGCTTTTCTTCAAGTTCAAGCTTGTCTTTAGCATCAAGAGAGGGACTTTTTTGAGCATCAAACACAGTCTCTCCTTTGGCAATCACTTCAAGGACATTAACCTCACTTGGTTTTGCTGTTTCTTTCCCAATGCCCCTGTCCTTGCCAAAATGCAGAGCTCTCTCTACAAAGGTCGAAAGAGCCTTTAAAAACAACTGAGGTCCCTCATTGTTAATTCCCCAGGGGATATGAATGAATCTATTCCCTTCGTTTCTAGATTCCAAAATCCTTATAAAATCACCCCTACGATTTGAATCAATAGCAGCTTCTAGTGTTCTTTGAAGTTTGAACATCCAATTTAACACAAGCCCAAGCAGAACCAGAAATCAATCTAGGAAGAGTCTCTAGAACCCTATATATATATATATATATATATATATATATAAAATGTTGGGAATAACATTAAGATCTATACGACATTTAAAGTTGATCGACATGGTTGATATATTCTAAATTCATACTCCCTCCGTCCTAAAACTTTCTTCTCACTTCCTCTTTTTCTCCGTCCTAAAACAACCTTCCTATTAAAAAAAAAGATGACAAATGACATTAATACCCTCATGTATTTACACCAATTATCTTCTAACTCTATATTTTGAATGAAAAAAAATTCAAAAAATCTTTTTTAAGGAGGGTAAAATTTGAAGTCAAAGCCAAAAATTAAAAATGGGGAAAAGTCAAACTGAGAAGAAAGTTTTAGGACGGAGGGAGTAATATATAAGGTAATCTCATAATGACATGTGTTAGCCACTTGTCAGGTGATAACAAATTAACCTATTCCCCATTTACTACACACTTATAAAAATGGTAGCAAAGTGGTAAGTAGGGTCATTCTTCCACAGGGAGACTTGTCTTCTATTATTTCTTCTCTTGATTAATTGCTCAGTTTTCACAACACACACACGCAAGGGGGGGGGGTTGTTTAAAAGATGCTAATACTACGTAATGAAAACAGATTTTAATAGAAACAATGAGAACAGATCAAAGAAGGAGAGAGAAGTTCAGGTAAAGGTTTGTGGTTATCAAATGGAGTAGCAGGCTTGTCTGGTGGAATTAGGAACAGTTGCTCAGATCAAAGTAAAAAAATCAGATTCTCAGCTAAACAAGTTGTTGAACAAAAGTGAGATTTAGCTCTCTCAGCAAGGAGCTAAATCTCCACCTCAAAAATCAGTCCTTAAGAGAGATGAGCACTGCCTAAGGACCTGTACCTACGTTAATAACCTCAGGATGAGCCTGATGCAAATTAACATAAGCATGAATTCAGTTATAAAAACCTTTTGAACATACAATATACTTGGACAGCCAAATACACTATATGCCAGTTGTTGGACCCCAAATAAGAATTTCAGACTGAAAAATTGAGGCATGAGACCTACAATCAACAGTTTTGAGAAGCTGAGCACAAATCAGGATTAAACAACCTTCAACAACTGTCTAAACCTCAAATCATTGCAATGAACACAAATTCCTGAGAACTGATCCTAAATTTCCACCAGACAAAAGAGGGATTACTCTCGGGACATGATCATGATAATCGATTCACAATTTAAACACATGATCACAGGAAAATATTGTCCAAACAAGAGATTATGACTCAGATTTGAATAGCACGAAATCACACGTTCAACTACGAATCAACAATTCAAACAGTCCTCAAACATTAAAACTGTATCACGAATTTGAAAACAAAAACAACGAAGTGCCTATGGACAGCGTTCGAGGATCAAATCCTACGAACGTGATGACTCCTCTGTTCGGTTACAGCGCTTGATCGGGAGGAGCGCTTGGTGATTGTGCGATGAATGATGATGATCGCGAGGTTTAGCTCGCCGGATTATGCCTGGTCGCTGAATTTCTCTCCCGGTTAACTCTTCGATCTCACCTTCCCCCTCTCTCGTTCCTTTCTCCTCTCACGTCACTAGTCTCTCTCACCAATACCCTGAGTTTTTGTACTAAACTAATGGGCCGGGTTGGTTATTTTCACTTTGGGTCGTCTAGTCCGATTCTAACAATTAACCCAATGGACCTAAAATAACACAAGAATAGCACTCTAACCTCTAGGATGGTCAACGTTCTTTCTTGATCTTAAATTAAACCAAATTCTCACTAATGGTGACCCAAAGATTAGTAAATGTAAGGGAATTTAAAGACTATAAAAGAGCCTAACAAAATCCCCCACACTTACATCTTGGCCGTCCTCGGCCAAGTTGCAGAATGCAAGTATAGAAAGCTCATCATCTCATTTCTGTACGTATATTCCTCCTTTCTCTTACTCTAAAGTCCGACCAAATGAACTAATGTAGAATTTTCAACCTCCCCAACTCAAATTGCACCAAAATCGCATGATGTAGTTTCCTTAGGAATGCTGACTGTTTAAATTGAATCTAGAGTGGCTGACTTCTTTTTCACGAGAAGGTGATCCCACAATCCTTTTTGAATGAGGCCAAAGTCCCAATTGTCCTTATTGTTACTAAACTGCCCCTTTTCAACCCTCAAGCTACAATTCTCCAACTCCCATGTAACAGGATTTTTGGTCAAGCTACCCCAGGCCCATTCCAGATAGCCCGGGACTTAGATAATCAAGGTATCCCATGGACCTCACCCGAGAGAAAGAGAACTGATAAACTGAAAAATGTGTGGGAGTTTCGGGATTGAGTACGGCCCAAAACAGGGGTTTGCCCTTCCAATTGACTCTGCTCCATACACATTTAGTTTCCTTTTGGAATCTGTTGCTTAAGGGGACAGAGATGCCGGGCCACCAATGCCAAGTCCAAAAGGTTTTTCCCACACACATTCAGGCTTAAGAGTCTAGAGAGGTAGCAAAAAACAGTTTGGGTTAGGTCTTAATGACTCCACTCTAAAGGTTGCTGTTTTAAGGGTGTTCTCAATCAGTAAAATCAACCAACCACCCTAAAATCCAACTCAAAACAGCCAGGCTAACAGTCACTAAAAAAAATCTGCACCAGAATTTTAGTGCAACTCAATTTGAGAGTTTGAAAGCTGTACACTGCTCAAATGGACATTCCAGAATAAGAGACAGAAGCAATATTCATTCAGACATTCTAAGAAGCATTTCCCTTCCTATACTTGGTCCTCCACAACTTAGCTGAGAATTGGAGACCATGATTGATGGTTTGGTTTAATCCCAAGTCCAGAAAGAAGCACACACATCACTGAAGGTTAAAGGGAGCATGCAACCTACTCTGTCTAAAGGGAATGGGGATATGCTTACAACC